TCTTGCATTGGATGGCTCTTCTATAGATCAACGAACATCGTCGGCTTATGACCAAAAAGGTTCAGTATTTCTTTATATTCCGACGAGTTCTTTGTTATACGAATGCTTTTGTGTGTATATAACTCATTTCAGTTGACCTCTATCACTGGCTGTTGTCGGTTCATCGTGAGCGTAAGGAAAGGAAATCAGCTGATCTACTAGGCAAGGATTACTTGAATCCGATGGACATCATTCCACAAGCATTCTTCTATAACTTTTATATGGTAATTTGCTAAGCCATGATATTCTATTGTGAAATATTAGCTAAAAGTAGAACTCACACACTTCTTTTTATACAGAGTAGACGCCTTGACTGGACAAACCTTGACGGGTTACCGCTGGATCAACTGTCCTTAAGTTATGCTGTCGTAGTCAGTAATGTGGTTATAAACATGGTTGAGCAACGGTAGCTTATCAACTTTTTTTTAATGAATATGAAAATGAAGTTAATTGCTATTAAGCGTTGTTTGTTCGGCTGCTGATATATCACAGAAGTTCATCACTCCACATGTGCACGAAATGGTTCATGTGAACAAAGTGACAGTAGATGGTAAATTATCGTGGAATGTTGAAATGGACGATAAAGGTCTACTACCTGTTCGTGGAATGGTAAGCGATGAGGAAGCTATTAGAAAATGTTTTTGTTTTATTTTATCTACTGAGGTGCTGGGCCGTTGCATATGGATGACAGTGTGTCAACTTATGTGTTACTTTCTATCATTATACAGTTAATACAAGATCAGTTTCTTATATAAACGATTAACAGGGCTCTCTATCAACATTCGTTTTTCGTTCAATGGTAGACGGTCGTTATCTCTAAGTTGGATTTTAGAGTATTTCGATGAGGCCATAAAAAGCAACTCAGTTTTGATCGAGCAGTTGAGCATGTGCAGTTCAATGGAAAAGCTTAATTTAAAAAGTAGAAGAAATTAGGTTCCATGAGTTCAAGGCACCTGAAAGCTATGGAATTACTAATTTGTGTGAAAAATTTTAGGCAGACCTCTTATATAAAGGCCGTGTTGAAAATGTACGATTTGTTGTGGCTTTATGCTCTGTATGTCTTATCAAGGAAATTTCCCTAGTGGTAAAGACATGTGTCGATCCGTCCCATGAGTTCAAAAGGCGTCAGAGTGTTCTTTTTTCACGAGTGCGTTCGAACTATTTACCACTTTACTTACTAGTTACTTAATTACTTACTTGCTTCCTGATTACTTCAATATTACATGCCTTTTAAATACTTAAGCAGCCTGATCCGTCACTTGGATCTATACAATCAAACGCCACTGTGCAGTCGCGTACATCAGCCTCGTGGGACTCCCGAGTTCTGGACATGATGCGCGATTTCGAAAGAAATCGAAGTCGTAGTTCTGGAAAAAAGAGAGGGGACGTAAGTACATTGGTACCCGGTCAGTTAAAGCAAGTTTAAATAGTAGATGTGTGACTTTTAAGTAGGATTTTCAAGCGGCGTAATAAGGAACCTACTATATTCATCAACGAGTTCTAATTTTGTTGTTACCATCGGTTATCTTATAGTTGTACAATTTAAGGTGCTCACAACAGTGCACGGTGAGGTTGAGATTGATTCGATTCGGCTCGAGTCTATTCTCACCGACCTCTACGTTTCGCTGATGGTGCAGTTAGGTGAAGTAATGCAGCATTACAACTCTGTGCACAATTTAAATGCCGTACGCGTTGGTACCGAGTCAGTAGTTCATAAGAGTCGTGCTCCAGTGGACATGGTTGACATGAAAATTAGGTAATTGTTCCTACTCTTATTATCACATTGCATAAAGTTTAAAGACTTTCTTTGAAAAGCTGTGTTTGCTTTAGTACTGGTTGAAATAGTGCTGAAAGAGGGTAATGTTCGAGGATTTCATCCCACTGGATACAACAGCAGCCTTATATCACCTAAATCCTGTTGAGTGATCTGAGCTCAGATTACCAGATGTGCTTAACGTGTTCCACTCAGGGGAGTCAAACAAAAACTCACATTTTCGTCTTAGGAGGTTTTCATGAACGAATACGTGAACGATGGTTGCTCTATCCACACTTTACCTTCTTCATAATTCAGTCGTTGACGACCGTCTACATGTTGGTCAGACAAATGGCCTGTTCGTGCCACTCAATTTCTGATATTTAGGTATTTCAAGGAGTCTGGTCTATCTTCGACTGACAACATAGTTCTTAACTCAAATTTCCTCTTCCCACGTCTTTAAGTAAAATACTTAAGGCTATCTAGTTTCAAGGTAACGAGACGAGCACTAGATGGGAAGTAAGAGCTAAATATGAACTAGTTCGGATTAAACCTGTGTGTCGGTTCAGCCATTTTTGAGATCCGTGGTCTTTCTTTGAGTAATATTCAGTAAGTCGACGGAGGACGGTTCATTTAAGGAGGTGGTACGCTACCGACAGATGAGTAAATGGACGACAGTTTACAGTGAGGTGTGAATAGAAGTATAGTTCACCATTTTCAGGACTGCTTGAATCCCAACCAATGGAATAACTGAGACGTAGAGTAGCTGGCGGCAATTTCTTCTGATATTTGGGGCGGTTCCCGTTGGATAGAGTGCAGTACTTCACCGATGAGTTACTGCGTTTTGCAGAGCGAAATAAAACAGAGTAGTGAATCCATCTGTAGGTGGTAGTTTTCTTGTGTGGCCACTTATCGTTGTGGTCACCAATAGTTTTGAATCTCTGATATCTTTTATTTTCGTCGTAACTTGATCTTGACCCATATGCTGTGAAAACAAAGTCGATATTAGTTTACATTCTTCCGTCGTGTATGTTCGATTTAAGTATTTGCTGTTTGAGATGGATGTAAAGTCATACTATTTATTTCCTTTATATTTCCTTTCCTTTTAGAAAAGCATGTCTCACACTTATGGATAATTCTAAGCAGAACATGCATATCCTCAATTGTACACTTCATGAAAGCAATGCCAAGCTAACTAGGTGAGTATGGTGGAAAAAAATTTTCCTCTTTTCCTTTTCTTTTTCCTTTTTTCTCTCTTTTTTCTTTCCTTTTTCTTTTCCATAAAATTTTCCAGAATGCTACAAATACATGCCACATTCTTAGTGGACATGACTTTTTCCCCACCGCTTCAATTAGTTAAAAGTGTTTTCGTACTTTTCACAGCTGATCATTATCTAACCACAACGTAAATAAGTACTTTTATTGACTTATGATCGGCATTTGTTTTATTTTAGTCGCTAATACTAAGTCTTCTTTTGTACTACTATTCAAAGCTAGTTGTTATATTTTGGATTATTTTTGAGGCAGTCTGGCATCACAAATACCATTGAGCCCTTGATAGCACTTCGTATTTCGCTTGGGGCTATTGAAGGTGAACTACCTATGGCTGCACATTCACTTCACGACGTTGTAATGAGGCACGGTCCCCAAGTAAGTTCGATGATTATAAAGTATTTTTTCTTACGTGCAAATATGTTTTATATGGAAACTAAAACGACAAATTGAGGAGGAAACAACAGGTGAAAATGTTCTTATTCCAGCTAGAACAGCAGTTCAATCGACTTAGTGCACAGCCAGTCGCACCACTTAACATTCGACAAGTTTCAGATGCATCATTTCCGGTATGATCTTACATGTTCTATCAATATAAGCGAAACGTCTAAACTTAAAAAACTGTTGTGTTCAGGAGCTACCTGTCGTAAGTTGGGATCAAGTGTCGGCACCCAAATATCAGTCGACTGGAAGCTCTAAAACGGTTGCGCATCCCCGTCCAACTATTGCTAAAATAAAATTCGATTTCGAAACATCAAATGTTGAACTTCGAGCACTGCTTTTGCCTAGTCTCCTAGCACGGTACAAGCTTAATAGAGCTTGTAGTAGTGGAGTTACCGGTTAGTAATGCTTATTTAAACATATCCATCGGCGTGTCTAGTTTTGCACAATACACTATTTTTCAATTTAAGGAGACGCTGCTAAATGGACTGCTAGCATTGAGAACCATCATGTTGAGTTCTGTGTTTCATCGGCTGGAAAACCTATGGATACTTTTACATTAGCACTACCAGCAATTGCTGTAAATGGAAAGTACACTGTTGACAAAGGAGACACTGCTCCAGCAACCAACAAAGCATTGCTCTATCGAGAAGGAGGTTATTTGAAAATGAATGTAACACTAGGTAAGTTAAGGAATACGTTGAGATGTGACCACGGAGGTTCTAATGAAGAGATTGGTGTAATTTCTCTTCGAAGACTTGTTGTGTTTATCACTTACTTGGATACTTGGATGGCCCGTCTTCATTGGTTGTGCGGACTCCAGCATAATTTCTATTCACCGGAGATTTGCTGGTTTAGCCATTGTGGTTCCCTGGAGTCATGAGGGCAGCTTGGCCAAAGTACCCAAAGTCTTCACCATCACAGGTGGTCGCTTACCTCCCTTGTAGATCAGAGCGAGATTTACCACCATGCGACTAGTCTGATACCAGGACGGCGGTGGATCCTGTTATTGGTGTTGGTTTGCTTTTAGCTGGGCTTCTTGCCGGAAACACTGGACTCCGGACTCCCCAGCATGAGAGGCCCTGCTGAGGGGATGAATTCGCTCTCCTGTAGATCGCAGCCTGACACCCAGGAACACCTCCCAGCCACGATGAGGTGCTAAACCGTTGGGTGGCTTGTGTTTATTAAACCAATACATATCTGACTTACTGTGTGCTCATTTGTATTATGGAATCGTAATTTGATGTCTTCGCATCTGTAGAGGAGAGATATGCTCAGGAGATAAAGGTTCACAATGACCATTTATATGGATTTTTACAAGTAGTATAACTTGTGTTGTCGCTATAATTACACGAAAAAAAATTTTGCTATAAAATCAAGTCACTTAATGCAGTAGAAAATTATAAAATTTTTGGCAACTTGTTGTCTTCTGTGCATAGCCAAATACTGCTTAAAGGTTTTTTTGTAACGAACTGTCTGTTTATGATTAACAGTAATGCGTGAGCTCTTGCGAATTTATAGAATAACATTTCCTTTGTGCTTAAAATATGAGTGTTTAGGTCAAGTTAATCACTCTTTTACCACGGATCTTCTAAATCAGATATTATTTGCTGAGCAGTCGTTCCGTAGTGAGCTATCCGCCCTCGTTACTCGCCTACGTGCTGAGAGATCTGGATGGGCACCAGCAACAACTGAAATGTCTCAAGTTGACAAACAGCCACCGATGTTGTTCTTTTTAACCGTTAGTGCTTCGTACTTCCCAACAGTTTTGCTTCTATCCGAAATTTGGACGGAATTCCACCTTTCTAGGTGATGGGACAGGGAGTACCTTGGTTGCAGCTAACCGCGGCTACTCCAACTGCAACAGCTGTTCGTTTCACAATTGAGAGCCTAGATGCGGAACTCACTAATCGCTGGGTGTGATCACTGTTCTTTCACTCTATATGTAGGTGTTTTTTAAAGTTTATTTTAGGTAATGAAGGAGCATGGTTCCGCAAAAGAACGTCTTTTTGGTGCTGCGGCGATTCAATTCAACGCAAAACTGGGTCAACTTGTGAAAGTCGCAGAATACGAGGAGCTGCAGGCTGAACTACAAGAGTTCGCCACATTTATGACTCAGGTGTGGTTTTTCTCGTCAATGATTTTTTGCTAGCCCAACCGACCAGTTTAGGAGTACAGCTCGCCGTGTTCTGATGTGCTAATTATCCAAATAGAAACATTAGATCGTTCCAGGATGCTGTAACTCTGCTCAAACACAACGTTACTGATCAAAATAGGAACTGTTGAGGGTGGCGTGAGTGCTTCGGTCAAAGGTGTCCGGTAATGTAGGCAGTATCTTTGGCACAATCTTACGCCCACACCTATCAAGCATCCCATTCCTCACGGCTCTGCAGATTGGTACCAGACTTGTCTACGAAGTTAGAAACAGATTCGTACATCTCTGGGTTAGCACAATTCATTTATATAGAGCACTGAAGTACTCAATAACCTCTATGGTCGAATGAATGAGGCACATATCCTAAAAGATTGATCAACGCCGAACGCTTTTTACTTTATCCTGTAGGATGCACTGGAGTCCGCACATTTTTGTCCATAAAACAATTCATGTATTGCGGAATTTTCGAAATTTGAAGCTGTGCAAGCGAATTCTTTGGAAGAATTTTCATCGTCGCTTAGTTGTTGAGAATTTCCTCAGCAAGTTGTTATTGAGCATTCGAAAAAAAAGTCATTGCATAGCGACAGGTGCAATTAGTATGGTGGATAAAGCAGAGTTTTGGAAAAACTATTTTTATACATAAGAATCAGAAGATGTTCTTCTAAGCAGTGTTGGATACACACGCCCCAATGTTTTATTTTCTATTATGATCTTTTCGCACGATCTAGAAGGTTGTGGAAAATTAATCGTAATCATCATAGGCACAGTCGTTAAACTTTCTTCTGGCACACATTCTGCTTTAGAAGAACTGCCCTGATTTTTATAAGTTGAATATGATCCACTTTTCATCGAACATCACAATGCAGTGGAGAAATTGTTCGCTTGTCTTTCAGTTTTTGTTTGACCGATGTTGATTTCTTCTTGTGCTTCTCAAGTAGCTTCCATATAGCCGGAGAGAGTTTGACTATTGCCGAGATGCTCGTCATGAACTGCTGATGCAAGATGACGATTTCCATCAAGACTTTTCTGAGATACAAAACATTTCGAACAAACCATGTACTATGTGGGTTAGGTCGACAGTGTGTCCATTTATAGTGACGGACCAAATGCGAAGTTTTCGTCCCATTGATAGCATTTTTGAAGCAGTCTGAAATCGCTATAAATTAAGCAGTGAAAAAGCTATGACACCAACAATGTTAACATCGTAGCTATAGATTTTTTTATTATTTAGCAGTGTTTAGCAATTTCTGGCTTTTAGTGTAACCTAGTTGTAGTGAATAATGGATAACAAGTCTACAAATTTTATTAAAGAGTCTAGACTGTTTCAGGTCCGCGTGGAGAATAAAGAAAGCTCATCGCATCAGTCGTATTCCTATCATATAGCCTTGAATCGTCCAATACTTCTAATCAAATCTAGTGCTGTTGATAAGGCTAGTAAAATTTCTGTGCCCTTCATCTGCTTCATGACGTAAACGATTTTTCAATGTATAGCAAAGTTAATTAGACGTTCGATGTGTTAGGATGGGGAAACAACATGAATACAGACTACATTTCGACAGCCTCCTACACCTTTAAATCATCTAAAGGAAACTGGATAGGTTTCCCGTCCGAAAATGCTTTACTATACATGAAAAATCACGTAGTCTGCTCTTTAAACGTTGACATCCGTAAAACCTATCACCAAGGATTATCGGCCGTCTACATAGTACTGCTTTTAGTATTACATATATCCACACATAATACTTGTTAGAAAGCAGGATATTGAAGCTTGAAAACTTGAATGGTTCTTGTAGTACAAATGCTGATTTCAACGAGATCGGGCAGTCGTCCATTATCTATAGGATATTTACGTTAAAAATCCTCAATTGATTGACAGAACAGTGATCTAAGGTAACCATTTGAATATGTAGGATTCAAAAAGTGCTCGATACAAGTAGTCATTGGTTAGCATTGGAATGCTGTCAGTGATGCCACCATGTTTCTCATTAATTGACAAAAGTAAGGGCTTTGTTCACGCGAAAGCGATCATGTTTGGTTTGGACAGTCTTGAGGAGAGTTAAAATTCTTTGGAGAAATGTTGTCATAAGGTAATGGGGGTGGAGCTGATATGTGTCTAACCTATTTGATTAACGATCGGATAGGTGACACAAGTGGTGATATGCGCTCGTTTCGTTGTTTCGTATGCTTATTAAATAACGTAGGGAGTGGATAGCACAGTGTTGGTGACGCCGATTATCACGAGCACGGTTCTGGTGTGATCGTGTTAGGGGCGCACCAAGCCTCTCATCCTTCCGGGGTCGAAAAATTGATACCGGATTTGTCCAGCGAAAAACCACTCTCTGCAATCCAAGTGGGAACGCTCTAGCCCGGCTGTCTCAAGACAGCGATTATCGACTCGATCAGCATTCGACAACGTTAAAGATGATATGAAAATCTTTAATCACTGGTGGAAGCCGTACGTAAAAGCTGTATGACCTTGGTGGATGATGGATGAGAGGGGACGAATCGATTTTGAAAAGTGCTGGCATTCATACAGTAGATGTGAAGATGAGTCGTATAAAATAAAATGAATAAAATATTAAGTAACAATTGGATGGTTACACCAACCTGTTGTCGATAGTGGTCGTTTGAGTAGGTATTTATTTGTCTATTCTGCTTATTTTTCAAGGTGTTTTTGTTCTTTAGGCAATTCTTTTATGGTTGAACTACAAGAACACTTATGATTATTGGAGAGCCGAGCGTAGTCGTGTAGTTCGGGCCGCCAACAAACGAAGCAACAGTTTGCAGCATGCAGTGTTTTCACAACCTCAAGTGACCCAGGTAGTTCAGCATTTGAAGAATGGTTTGCCATCCATTTGAGGTTGTTTGCAAAAACTACACCTTTGCCTTGCTACGAACATGATCAGTTTGATCATGGCGCCAGTTTGCTATGTTTTTTTACTTGCGGGTGTTTTGGCTAAAGTACGGTGTTTGGTTTTTTACCACATGCCGGTTCAAATCCGTAAGGATCCCGAAAGCAAACTCTCCAAACGTCACCGAAAAGTGGCCGAAAATTTAACTAGCGCGAAAGTTGAATTTTCTCTTTGCTTTCATATTAATACCTCTATAGTGAGGTATATCGCCCAGCGGTTTATCGCGTCATCGTGCCTAGGAAGTGCTCCTGAATGTTGGGCTGCGATGTCCAGCGGGGGTTTCATCACCTAGTAGGACCTCTCAAGCCGAGGTGTCTGGTGTTTTTATCAGGAAGCCCAGCTAAGAGTAAACCAATATCTAAGTTCACCACCATCCTGGTACCAAAATAGTCGCATGTTTGGCAAATTTCCTTCTGATCCACAAGGGCGACTGTTGTGGCAGTGAGGACTTGGAGCAGGTTTTGGTTAGGCTTCCTGTGGACTGCAGGTAACCACATTAACGAACCACCAGAAAAAAAGATTCGAAAAATGGAAATTATTCCGGTGCTCGCACAACCATTGAGAACGGACCATCCAGGTGACCAAGCACAGTGAAGTGTAGTTGAATAACCAGGAAAAAAAAATCGAAACCACGGAATTCTTAACTTTGATTTATTGTAGAGGACGACATTTCAGAACGAATGTTTTGTAGAGAAGTACTAAATAAACTGATGCTCAAAAGGAGCGGAAATTTAGGGAGATATCGTTTGTTTTTCGAATTTTTTTTGATTCATGGTTTCTGATGTATAGGGTTTCGACGTGAATCTCTCACTGGCGATCAATAATGGAATGTATGCTTGCATGCCTTTGTATAGTCAAGATCTCACAGATGGGATGCCAGCGCTAGTACTATCCTTGCAGGTATGTCTTCGTGTTCGTAGAAACTCAGCAGATGATTCTAATTTTCTAGAAAAGTGATGTGACTGTGTGCATTGTGAAGGAGTTGGCTTGTCAGGCATCTTTTCATGGATTTAAGTTAAACTTCGTAGATAATTTTGACGAGCTTGTAAGTCTGTTTCCAATATGGTGTTTCTCATGGCATTTCTTTGCACGTAAATGCATTCAGTTCTAGTCGCTATCAGAGAGTGTAAAAGAGGCAACTGGAGAGACGCAGACGAACTATTTGTTCTTTCCACAAGGAACGTATCAGTTGTGCTCACAGGTGAACCAAGCTTGTCTTTAATGAACAAAGCGTGACAATTGATTACTTCGTTTATTCAGTTATATTCTAATTTCTTTTTTTTCCATACATCAAACTTTATTGTTTTTAATATAGAATGCAGAAACAGATGACATGTTTTAATGATAGTCATTTATTTAACAAGTAAATTACTGAAACTAGGCTTCTGGTGATGCGGCTGATGCAAAATGGGTGCTAAGTGTTCGCTCACAAATGCGTGGCATGATCATTGACTTGGACCAAAGAATCGGTATGTTTCTAGTGTTAATATTTCGTCTTTATCTATTAGAACGTGTGCGACGATGCTGGTTTGCCATTATTGTCGAGAATTTTTCAATAACTAGCGTGTTACAATGCTCGAGTTTTTGATAAACTCAGAAACTTTTCCTAGCACAGTAAATAATATGCATTGTTGAGGTATTTGCAAAACTCAAAGAAAATGTGGCCTCAGTTTGAACTTGATATTTGATACTTGAATGGCAAGCCCTCAGTGTGAGCCGCAGCATAACCTCCATTTTTTCGGAGATTTGCTGGTTAAGCCATTATAACTAGCTAAGAGACAGGCGAAACGGAGGACCCGCATGGTGTGGTGGTGAACGCGTTACTCGCCGGAAAGGAGACAATAGCGCGTTCGTTCTCCACCGCAGACACCTGCGGTCCGGCGTTTTACCAATATCTCAGCATTATCTTAGGTGTATTTCACATAATACCCTGCCGTTAAAAATTGTAGTAGGCAGTAAATAAAAAGGTTAAGATTGTGATTTCGACTTCAGCCTCAGCTTAACTAGGTTCGTTGCCGAGTTGGGCTCCCTAGATCAGTCCCGTTGACGGGTGATTGCTGATGGCAGCGATTAATAGAACTAGTTGAGAGACAGGCGAAACGAAGGACCCGTATGGTATGGTGGTGAACGCGTTACTCCCCGGAAAGGACAATAGCGCGTTCGTTCCCCACTGCAGGCAACTGCGATCCGGAGTTTTGCAAATATCTCATCATCATTGAAGTTATATTTCATAATATACACTGCCGTTAAAAATTGTAGCAGGTAGCAAATAAAAAGCTAAACGTATATGCATTGTGTTAACATCCTGGGTGCTTTCGTGTTACCTACTGCTCCACTGATGTTTTTACCGTAACAGTGCTATTAGCAATCACTCGTCAGGGGAAATCAGAGTGGTCTGAGTTTTCTCCGTACCTCAGCATTATTGTGGTTGTCTTTCACGCAACCCATACTGTGAAAATTAATAGGAAGTAAATAAAAAGCTATTCATTGTGATTTCGACTACGGCCTCAACTTAGTTGAGTTTAATGCCGACTTGTGCTCCTCGGATAATTCCCGTTGACGGATGATTTCCGATGGCACCGTTAGGATAAAAAACCGGCTGAGAGAAAGGAAAAGCTAGTGCTTCAGTGGTGTAGTGGGAATACGTAAGTATCCGGAAAGGGTAATTACGAGTTTGAAGCTGCTTTGGGTTCTGTGTTTTGTTGATATCTCAACATTGTTGAGGCTGTCTTTCACTCAGTACTATGCCATGAAAAATAATAAGCAGTAAATGAAAAGTTGTATGTTGCGTTGAAATGCCTTGGTGCTGCTTTTTCGTTTTTATCTCTTGTAATAATGGATTTCTTATCGTCCTTTTTTTCTCTAGCGTGGTTTAGGTAAGCTTGCGAAGATGGTTGTGAACACATTTTCTTCACTCGGAGACAGCGAAAATTATGTAAATGACAAGCTCTCGAATGTTTCGGATGATGATGACAATATGGTTAGATATAATTCATTATTTCCAATCTCAGTTGTTTTATACCACCCTTCTTCATATATTATGCAAAGTGCTTCCTTTACTCGGTTCTTTAGCTTACATACCTCATATATAACGTGTTTGGGTTTGTTTCTTTATTCCTCTACAGCTTTAGAATTTTGTCTTCATGAGTATCACTGAGTGCTCCTTAGCGTGGCTCTCGCTGTAATCCCGGTACAATACTGCCAAAGGTTTCTTAAATCCTTTTGACCGACAATCGCTGGTTGTTGTCGAATGCAGAGCCCTTTTCCAGGCAGCTCTGGCACCAATTCGACGAACTCGGCTTGATGGAACTAGTTTGGCTCACGATCAAACCAACGACCATGTCTGTATTGCACGGTGCCTTTACGTAGTCCAATATACATGCTTCGTTAATTAAAGGGGAATGAAAGGCTCAAAGTTGGGAATTTTGAGAAAATTTCCAAGGCCTGTTGGAATCAAGAGGATATTGTTGAAGGAATTTCCATGCATTATCAGCATCATCGACTTGTAGAGCAGTCAGTTCGCTTCAGAAACGTTCGTTCGTAGTAATGAATCGTTAAGTGAAAGCCCTAGCTATAGAAGAGTTGTGTTTTGGCGGTGAACAACAGTTGTATTAAAATTAACTGGAATTATTGCAAATTTTAACTAACAAAGGATGATTGTTGTCGCGATCAAATGCTCTGTTCCAATCCGCAAAGATTAGAAAAAGGATGAACAAGCACTCTTCCGTGCCTTCCACGGTTTATTTGTAATTCAAGCAAAATGGCTGCAGTTGTCTCCTCTATTCTTTGGGTTTCATTCAATGCTACATAGCAAGCATGGTAGTTATGCTGATATCTTTACCACGTTTACTTATCTTTATGGCCAACACGCTTCACAGTTCTAGAATCATCTGCTTATGATTGTATGGTGTCTTTCAAAGCTTGTCTGGCGTTTTTTAATATGTCTCCATCATCTTTCTCTTCCTGCTCTGCTACGAGAGTGTTCTACAGTTCACCACGTATTGTGAGGTGTACTGCGGTTGAATCTAAGCTTGAGTAGATTTTTTTCTAGAGCAGCTCAAGTAGTTTATGAATACATCCCGATCTTCTTTCATGAAACAGACAAACTGCTTTCAGTCTTGACCGGACTTTCATTAAAATGCCTGTTATGCAAGGTAGGGGTTTCATAGAAAATGTCTCCATTTTACACGACATGTTATTTTGGACGACAGTACCTTTTTCCTACTTGGTTTTGAGTGAAACATTCACAATGTGGTATTAGTGATCTGTCGGACATCAGAACGATCACTTTACAAAGATGTTGAATACGCACTCTCCAATGTGCAAACATGTCGTTGCCTTTCTTTGTGTGAGGAATTAGGTAACTCCGATCTTCATCTTCAGATTTCATAGTTTTCAAAAAGTGATTTTTAATTGCAAATGAGGTCAGTGATCCTCTTGTGTTGCTGCTGTTCCAAACGGAGCTTACATAGCACGAACGTGTTCTGTTATTCTTCTATCAGTAACCTACATGGTAATCGGAGATTTGATCCCTTGTAGCAAGTCTCATCGTCTGGTATAGCATAAGTGGAAGACTCAAATGTTCCATGTTTTGAGGCTTGTTTTTATTTATACTGGACAAATTTCTCCATGCAGTCTTGACATTGTTAGATTGTCACTAAATATGGGAGGTCGTCGAACGTATTAGACCATTTTGAAACCTTTGTCTTGATTTCTGCTCTAATATTGGAGCGGTGCATCCCTACAAACACTATTTCTCCTATTTTTGTTAACATTGTTTTTGGCTTATATAATAATCTCTCTCTGCATTTGTCATTGTGTATTTTGTGGAATCGACTAAATGATTCATTTTCCAGTAATTTGCTGTTCTTTTTAAGTATTGCTGAATTTTTATTGTACAGTGTTTTAGATTGAAGGTGGCAATGAATTAAAGAAGCTACGACCTGAGGAAAGGGTTTTATGGATGGAAAGAAAGGTGCGGTTGTTTATTTCAGTTTAACAAACTTAAAAAAGAAAACAAAGGAAGGCGTTAAGTTGAAAAGCAAGTAGATGCAGCAAAAACATGAACATTATTCATAATGTAGTTTTACAAAGTAGTTGGTAAGTTCGTGTACACTGCGAAAGGAAAAATACTTTGATATCTGGCTATTATTACTGGTAATAGAATCCTTGTAGCACAAACTCATCTATTGGACTGCTTATTTCTCTTTGCTAAATTTTCTTTTACATGCTAGACCACTGACTCACGGCACTATCGCTAATTAACACATTTGTGAGGACGCTTAATTTGATGTGGTTGCTATCTTGGCCGACGATTTTGAACGCATTGCTGTCAGCATTGGGTTGTGAATTTCAGGACGTACGAGAATAATTCCATAGCGACTGAGTATGAAATAAACTGCTAATGTGAAAAACTAAACTTTATGACCTCTGTAGGAGTCAAACAATGCGAAAATAATACCCGATTTCAGTTTTCTTGACGTGTTTCACTCGTAAATATTTCTTCTAATTACAATAAAAACTGTTGCAATCAGAAAATCTTTTCCTACAGGGCAATTGTTCTCTTTTTTTAGTATGATGAAAATCTCATGTTTCGGAGTCCATAACATATGTTCCATTCACTTTTTTCCCCGTCAATGTTCAGATTTCGATCATGAAAGCAAATGAATAATCGTAATTACGTACACCAGAATGCGGTGGGGTTTCTCAATGTATCCGTTGTGTTTGCAGTTACTGCTGTTGATTTGGTAATCCTAAAACTTTAGATTACATTTGGATTGTACTCTTAATTTTTTGAGAGTTTTAGTTTTAAAAATATTTGAATATGAATGTACAAATTACATATGCTGTTACTGAGATAAAGCAAAATCTCTTCTATTGATCTATACATTTCTGAACTCCTAATATGTTCTTGTGCTCGAGAAATCGTCATTTATCGAAAAATCAGCCTCATTGTGAAAGGATTAAGGATGTGATTCCACGTAAGAATAGGGTTTTTAACGGCATTTAAGTTGGTTTTTCAGTTTCGAATAAAGGTATTTGAAGTTTCTACGTTTAAAACCTTAACATTGAAAAGGTTTAGTCTGTATTGTTTGCCTGTTTAGATGCATGAACAGTCGACTTTGGTATCGAATTTGATCGCCTGCAAAGCATCAGAAAAGCGAGTTGAAGCCGAAAGAAGTAAGCTTCGTCAATACGAGCTGATTCGCTTCAAGGAATTTCGTCGTAGTATGATAGACAAAATTCGACGGCGCACGGCAAAGAGAGGAGACAAAACACCTAAAGTGAGTGCAACTGAGTGACTACTTCTGAAGTGTTAATTGTTTCGCCACATTACTAAGACACTGTAAGCACTGTAACTTAGTTGTTCATTGAGTACCTTAAGCGGGCACTACCGAGGTCTTTCCTCATCGGTTAAACGCTTAACTCCATCTCCTTGTGGGAAACAAAGGCACACATTTATTGAATGAGCCATTTTGTTTTTATCGATTTCATTTTGGAAAGCTAATTGAGTACCTCAACGGGCGCTACCGAACTCTTCATCTGAATCTTCTGCTAATGAGATCTGGGTACAATCATGGGTAGTTTGTCACGTTTTTCCAGAGTAAATTTGGGGCTTTTTCGTTGAATAGGATCCGGAACAACCATTCAGAAACTATTTACGACTTATCGGCAGATTTGTTGAATTATCGTTCAGGGTACATTTTGGATTAGAGAACTCAGTAAAGAATACTTGATTTCTTACGTTAAGTGGGATGATGCAGTGAATGAATTAGTTAAAAATAATAGAGAACAGGCCGTTTCAGCGTGAAATGTTTTAGTTTGGCATAGGATACTCGATTTTACGATTTACTCCACCGAGCTTTTCTTGATAGTGCCTGAACGGGCGTCTAATCTGGGTAGTTAAACCTTTCTATATAAGCTTTACAAGAGTAATAAAGAGTATGTGGAAACAGTGTACAGCATGTGTATGAGCACTTAAGAGTCGTTGCAATGCATCCGCAATGAAAGACGAGTGCAGTTACAAATAGTTCAATCTCCTATAGACAAGAGCGAAATGAATCGGAAACATGGTAACCATATCACGATACCGACGGGATACTGACTCTAGTAAACTCTAGATAGTGAGTGAAAGTAAACGTTGCTGCAATAGGCGTGATCACTCGTCGTGACTATTTTTGCGCTTGTGTAGATGTCGGCACACAAAGGTCTTATGAGCACTAACCAGCAAGTTGCTTGGAAAAAACATGAGCGAGCTATGAGGACGAAGTATGCAGATGCGAATTTGGCTTTATGGAACACTATCAAAATAGCATAGAAGTAGGATAGTAATATTAAGAAGTAGAGAGTGATCTCTATCAATTTACCCACACTGACCCTATAGCTAGTAGCTCTTCTTAACCAAGTGTGTACAAAAGGTATTAGTAGTGAAAGGTTCTGTTTTTTCCAAGCCTACTAAATAGAACTTCAAATTTGCAGTGGACATGAAGTTAACATGTCATCGTGTAATGAATTATAATGGCAAATATATGCTTCCTAGGCGGTCTCAGTTGATGACCTACCGAAGCTTGTACGAGTTGCTTCCGAGGTACGAACTGGTGAGTCGGATGACAGCAATAGAGGGCAGACAGAAAGTGTTCAAATGCATATTGATGTCCAAGTAAGTACTTTACTGGAATCGTTCTGTCGGATGTTTTTGTAACGACGACAGAAATTTACTCCACTTTGTGGTCAAGGAGAGTGAGGAAAGATTTATTCTCGATAGAGAACTATTGAGCTTCCCAAAGACCTTCTATGTTCACACTTGACAATGTACTATTTCTCTAGATAAGCATAGAATCGGGACATTGCACGTTACGTACGGCAAAACAAGAGTCATTAGTTATGGTGCCTGTTATTGTGAAAAAACCATCATCGAAGGATTTAAGAGCCAAGGCTTTTGCTTCTTCGTATCCGGCCAACTTGACGAGATTCAGTATTCCGAGGTGTAGTTTGACTATTTTTTCTATCCTACTAAATTTGCTTTTTCGAGTCCAGTTCTTCTTCCGTTTCTAGATCATTAGAACAATTTTCACTATGGGGTATCAAAAATCAGTTATGGAATTTTACCTCTTGAAATCTCTTTATACTGAATGATTTCTGCTCAACATAGTTCTGCAATTCAGCTTGGATATAAAGGGCTATTATCTCTCGGCAGATACAGGATCGGTTCCACCACCTTTGTTACTCAAGGGACCATTTAAGCCAACCGCATCAACGATAAATCGTCCACAGACTCAACCAAATGTAAGATTTCTGTTTATATATTGTAATAGCACAATTATAATCGTTGCTACTACTGATTTTGTTACTACTGTTATTTCTAAAAACTGACTTTCCTTTAACGTTGGCATAAATAGTCAACATTTCTTTTGGAGACCATTGTTTTAACTGTTAAACCTTTATACCAACACCGTGTTAGGTTTTATATCCAAGGAAATACTAATTTCTTTTACTGCTAATATTATTATTACTATTCTTACCATTATTATCGTTATGAGAAATCATCCTCTCAGCGGTTTACCGCCTCATCGTGGCTGGGAGGTGTTCCCTGGGTGTTGGACTGCGATGTAGAGCGAGGAGGTTCGTCCGCCCGATACGGTCTCCCAAGCTGAGAAGGAGTCCGGCGTTTCCATCAGGAAGCCTAGCTAAGAGTAAACTAATACGAGGATCCACTACCGTCTTGGTATCAAGGTCACATGGTGGCAAATCTCTCTTTGATCCACAAGGGCGGCGACTGCCTGTGATGGTGAAGACCTTACGCAGACTTTGGCCAGGCTAGCCTCGGAATTCCAGAGAACTACTATGACTTAACCAGAAATTTTCGGAGTAAGTATTATCTTTATACTTGTTCCCTTCACTGCTAGTGTTACTACTTTTAGTAGTAGTACTATCTGAAATGATAGATACGAAGATCGACCACCGACCTAGTATCAAACTAGTCGCGTGGCGGCAAATCTCCCTTTAATGCACAAGGGCGACGACTGTCTGTGATGGTGATGACCTGAGCCAGAGTTTGGTCTGGTTGACCTCGGTACTTCAGACAACCACAATAGCTAAACCAACAAAACTCCACAAAAGTGGAAATTACGCTGAGATTCACACAGCCAGTGAAGACGGGCCATCCAAGTAGTTCTGTCTGGTTGTCGGATGAAACTGTTCTGAGTGTTGTCACCGGTGTCTTAATGCTTATTTACCGCCTGTTTTTTACTTTTATAACAGAGTACGATGTGAACTACAACTACGAGAATGTTGAGAAATGAACAAAACAGCAAAACTGGGAACCTCAGTTGGGTCTCAAGCTCGTGATTACCCTTTCTGCAGCCTCTTTTGCTGTCTGCCCCACCAGCCTCTTACTTTGCTTTTCTCACAAACAGTTTTTTGCACTGGCTGTACTTTCAGCAATCACACATCAACGGCAATGATTTGGAGAGCACAAATCGGCATTAAGCCTAGCCAGCTAAGCTGATGCTTCGGTTAAAATCACTATATCTCAACTTTTATTTCCTGCCTATTGTTTTTCCTAGCAGCATACTATGTGAACTATGAGCACAAGGATGCTGAGCTATAGCTAACTAGCTAGATGTGAACTACAAAACTGGCTGAAAGAAAGGCAAGTCATGAGCATCCGGTAAGGGTAATCGTGGTTTCGAAGCCCAGCTGAGGTTCGATGTTTTGCGTCAGCATCCTTTGGTAGTCGCTGTCAGTCGTTCCTCGGTTTGGCAATTCTTAAACTTCATTAAAAATGTGATGTGGATACTTGTTATTGTTTGTCAGTTTCAAGCATTCCATTATTCCTTTCATAGGCGTCATCTTTGCTAAACATAGACCAATATGCAAAGTACTACCAAATGAAAAGACACCTAACCTTACTCATAAGTATTGAAAGGCACTTTCGAGTGAATTTACATTTGTTTTCTCTCAAGAGCAACCGGAAACGTGGATGCTTTTATCTCTCCACCGCGTTGGCTTCAATGCCTACGGAAACTGTTGTTACACCTCATTTAGCAGACTACTTAGAACAGGCAAGTTTTCCCGTTTAATTTCATATATTCTACATTTTATATAGCAATAGACGTGCATGTAACTTTTTTTACTCTCGGATAATTTTTGACCATATGTTTGGTACTTAGGTTCTTGAGCCGTTACCAATATCGTCAGGTGCGACAGTAACATCAGCACCATCCGTGAATGAAACGCAGGAAGGCATGTCACATATTGTTGGAATGGACACAAGCGTATTGCCTATGGATGTTTTGTTTTTCCTTACTGTTCAGAGCAGTACTATTCGTTTTGACGGTCAGCAACAAGTAAGTGAATTAATGTCAAAATCCCATTAAAGAGTGATCTAGAACCATTTCCTGAGCAACACATTTAGCGATGTTCGGCTGCTGATTGTCTGCTAAAACTGCCTTGTTTGTCACTAATGGTATCAACTCGGCGATCCGTAGGAGATACGTACGTGGGTGGTGTTGATTTTTCTGCAACATTGAGTGCATTCTCACTAAGTATCTACAGTCCACATCAGGTAAGAAAACATATCTCATTGGTATATTAATTTATCCTTCCCTTCGATTTTTTGTAGTTCATATGGTAGCTCTTTTTAAAGGTAATCTCATCTTCAAAAGATTGCATGATTATGCATTGAAAATTTTGGAAGCACCCGTTTTTATTATACCACTGATCGACGAACATTATCAGAAGGAAGAACATTTTGCATAGCTTTTTTTTGGTGAGTTTCAGCAGTCAACGGCTCATGACGCTCTGTCTCTTACCCTTGACCATCTGTCGTTTGTAATTTCTCGTAGTAAAAACTCATCGACAGAAACGGATAATCGAGTAAAGGTGCGTACTAGTATGTATTTGCAAATTGTTATGAGGTATTGTTGAAAATTTGCCACCGGCGTTCATACATGTATACATATATACATGCATATATGCAGATGTACATATATGTATATCCATAGAAGTACATATATATATATATGTATATATAAACATGATGCTGTTATTACAGTATTTATTCACTCACAATAAGCGGTTCGGATGCAGCTTGAGGTGTTCTGATTTTCTGAATGTCGTTAAGTGCTGGGCGATTCGGTTTTCCTTGGAATCCTGGAATAGCTGTGTTGAGTTGTTCTCAGGTCTTAACCACAGACAATTATCAGGCTTTGTAGGTCAGAGACGGCTTTCCAGACATGTCTTTGATTTTCCTGACCCTAGATGCATGGGAGACTAGGTTGGAACAAGGGCCTTGCGTATATTATTTAACCGCAACTCACGCCTGCTCACGTTTTCTTGTGTGGGATCCTAGATATCCATTATTGTTTTGACCAACACTGGTCTTTCATCTTAAGTATTAAGAACAATCCTTGTGTTGAAAATATTCCTTCCAGGAGTGTGACGAAAAGCTAGAAATGAGAATAAAAAAGTCATGTGGCTGGGAGTGTTCCTGGGTGTCGGACTGCGCTGTATAACGTAGTGTTCATCGTCTAGTTGCATCTCCTAAACTGATAAGGGGCCAATTTCTTCACTCAGAAGCTTAGCTAAGAGTCAACCAATATCAAGAAAAACCAACACCACCGTCCTGGTATTGAACTAGTCGCATGGTGGCTAATCTCCCTCTGGTATAAAAGGACGGCGAGTATCTGAGATGGTAACAACTGAAGAAGACTTCGGCCAGGCTAGCCTCGGGACTTCTGGAAACCACAATTTCTAGACCAGCAAATATCCGTACTCACTATCCATCCTGCACATTTCCCCCTGCCGTCAATGAGGTTGAGCGGTGAAGCAACCAGTGGTAGTCAATCAAACCTCGGGTAGCACAGAACCTCATTGGAAATGGAGAAAAGAAGCACGTTCACGACACGCCATGGAGATTGCTTCCTTGCCGTACACATTTAACGCTAGCACCGTTTCTTCATACGCGATCTTTACGCTTTTCTTGAGGCCGCTGGTGACATAAAATTTCTTGTGTTCGCCCTACAAAAGACGAAAAGTACGAAGATCCACATACGCCATGTAGATGACGGAACCTTTGTCATTCGTAGAGGGATATTTCTCTTACGAAATGTCAATGACGTTGGATTTGTCGCACATCCATCTATTTCCCATGTAGTCACGTCATACGAAATCCTATCATCGCGCTTGGCCATTTAGTCTCCAACTTCCGCGTCAGAAGAATGTATCACCTATTGTAACTCGTACAACTGGCGAATATGATTTAGTTGCGTTCTACTACTAGCTGTGGGAAGTTATCCGCAACGATAAGTCGTTTTATAAATTTGTTACCACAGACTTCAATTCTAGATTAGAAATGGTCAGCGGGAATGAATACTAGATAGAAAGATTTGGAAGTAATGATCGAAGTAGGAATAGGTATTGTCTCGTGGGACTGCCGTTCACAGAACTCCTTTTCCATAGGAATTCATTTTTCGACAAGGAAGAAAATCGCCGATGGCATAGCAGATTCCCAGCTGTACGATTCATGCGGTGATCTTTTCGTTTATGACGAGGATGTTTTTAAGAAAATCATCTAATATTGCTGGCAGTTAAAAGGAGATCCGACCGAGGATTACAAGCTGGTTGTCGACATTGTTAAAAGTGTGTCGAACTCACTTCAGTTCCTTAGACAGGAAGCTCCTACTGCATATACATCACCACTAAAGAATTGCTTGAAAATAGAAAGAGATGGAAGCTTGATCCTGCTGCAATACACCTAACAAGGGCAATAATATCAGCTGTAGGATTTACATAGGTACAGACAGAAACAGTTATCGGAAGAATCTCAAAAAGCCAAAATCTCTTGAGGTGCCGTCATGATCTGTGCGGTTACATGTCTGCAACCAGTTCTGATGAACGAAAATGTTACTGTCAGGGAAGTCTTCCGTGATATTGGTTTGATAGTGAAAAAGCTCTACACCAGCTCATGCCGTTCCATCACCACCGCCGCAGTTCCCGAAATCGCCTCTAGAGGTAAACTATCTGGGATTATCTGGGAAGTTCCAATTGCGATGGCGAGCACGAAGAGGAGAACATCTGCAACTGATAATATTATAGCTAACTTCCTTCTATCATGTATAACTATAAGTTACAGGCATTTCTCACTGTCCGTATGATGTGTTATTGTCAGAAGGAGAAGACCACAGACCACTGGAGTGCGTCGCGCACGGTCATTCTGCCCAAGAATGGTGACCGAAGGGTTCTTCGTGGCGGTGATCCGTTATCCTTCTTGAGTAGACTCTACAGCTTCTTCACGATGATTTTCCTAATGCGTCTATCAGTGACTTTGCTTGAGGCACAACCAGTTTACGAAGCAAGATTCCAACAGAGTTGCTACTGCTTGGACAACATCGAAATCGTGTCACAGGTCATGGTAGTCTGTCGAGAGGACTATCTGCATCTTATCCCAGCCATTATCGACTAAAAGAAAGTGCTCGACAGCGTCGAAACGAATGCAGTTCCATCAGCGTTCGTTGACCAAAGAGTAGACGCGTCTGACATAAGAACTGTATCTGACTGTTATGGGAACTGCACTAGGGAAATACGGGTTTACCACCGACCCTTCACTCTACCACTTGGAAAAGGAGGTCGATAAAGTGGTACCGTTTCGCCAAAATTGCTTACGGTCCCATTGCAGTGGATAATGAAGTTGCTCGACTGGAACCAGGAGGCGTACCCATTGATGGGAAATTGTTGTTATACTTTCATTTCTTCGGCGACATCATCATCTTAAGAAGCACCAGAGAAGCAAAGACGATGCTCAGTGAACTCAACAAATCAGTGAAAGATTTTTTATTGTGCACAAATAGGCTGAAGATCCAGTTTATGAGAAATCCATTGTGCAATGGTGGGCAAATCGTACTGGGCAGTTCTCTCATTACAGATACCACCTCGTGCGTGTACCTTGGACGTTCAATGAACATGGAGAGCAACGTGAAGGAGGAATTAGGCAAATGAAGGAGAGCGGCATGGACCGCATTCCGGTCTCGCAATGAAGCCACCATCCAGTTAACGGACCCAATGCCTGCTCTTGCCTTTTCAGTTCACCAGGCCTTCCAGCGCTCTTTTATCCAGCAAAAACGTGGATTGATACTTTGACCACATCAAGAACTCTGCGCACTACCCGCAGAGTGCTTGAACGATGTCTTCTGAAACACCACAGCAATGATGCTGAGGTATGAGCAAAGCACAGAACTTCAGGTTAGTACCCTTTCTTGGAGTTCACGCAGTGCGCAGTCCTAATTTCCGGAACCTATCTTGTCTTTGACATCCAAGAACATATACCTATATAGCAACGCACAGACGGGTCGACTGTACAATAAGAACGTGTGACAAATGGACGAAAAGAGCAGTGAAATCGATCAAAGAGAATGCAAGCCTGTCCGTGCACGACCATGCAAACAATTGGCAGAAATTTTGGCGGTCAGCTTCACCCATCTGCGTTCACAGACGGGAAAGATTTTAGGGTTGTAATATGTGGTTTGCGAATGGCACTGTGTTCGAAACAGGCTACCATTGTGGTAGATGATAGCTCGAGAAAAAAAAATGAATGGTAAGTGTGCTGACGCTTGTGCTACTTGTGAAGCCAGGTCATCCGAGTATCAATGTAAATGCGAAGACAACTTCCGTTACTTGTTATATTAGTAGTTAGGTGAAATTTCTTCGTCTAAGCCTTCGGGAAACCCCATGACGTCGTTTCCAGGTTGGTAATGACAACCATTCATTTATCCGTATGGATTGGAAGCATGTTTTCTACCTTATGACTTGCTTTATTTCATGATGGTTCTTCGTATTTTTCGTACTTTTGCTGGACTTCAGCAGTAAAATGTCGAACTTTGGTGTTGCTAGAGAGGGACAATGTTGCCGATGTACATGGGAGTTTCGAACTTAAGAACTTGATCACACCAGTAAGATGTTGTGCCATAAACGGTGTGGCTGCAACATTCGACGTATTAGTGAACTGATGGCGTTTTCGGCACCAAGCAGCTATCGCACATCGTGTATTCTTCACTGACTAGACATGGAATTAGATAAATAGGTTTCGCCACATCCATAAAATATTGTTGTGGATTCACTAATTTTACTTTGATATAATGAGTTTCAATTTTAACACCAGAAGTTTTATGTATGTTATTTATCTAATGATCTATTTTACAGTGATTTCTTCAAAGCGGCTGAGTCATTTTCAGTTCGTTCTTACGTCAAACATTGGCGTAGCAAACTTCAATTATGACATGCGACGCCTTAGTGAACTGATGGCGTTTCCCAAGCCATGGTATCGGGCAGCAATCGCACGTCGTGTATTCTTCGGCGATCAGACCGTGTCTCGCGAACCAACTAGTCAGCGTAGCACCATAGCTAGTCATAATTTGGTAACAGCGAGGTTAGAGATTTTTCTTCTCCGATCTAACGTGTCACGTAGTTTACGCAAATTGGTCCCTTTTTGTTCTGCTGCCGTGTCAATTTAGTTTCGTCTTAAAGAGTGTGTAGCTCAGTTCTTATGCATATTAAGGTGCGAAATATGTAAATTTCTGGACGCGATTGCGGTCTTTAGTATACCGTTTCAAGTTTTGTTGACATCACTGGTTTCTGCACAAATATTAAGTTAATTAACAAGCATGTTTTTTTTTGTGGTTCAGACCTGCCGCGGCAAGATCCGACAAGCCGTGGTCGGCTACTGTGTTGCTTGCAGTGCAGTGGAAAGAGCTAAATGTGAACGCTCAAATGTCAAATACAATGGGGAATACGTCGTGGAGAGCACGACGTGGTCTCTTGCGTGCTATTGCTAAGGTTTGGATTTTTAGTTTTCTCTTTCTTTAAGACGGTTCATTACGATTTGAAAATGAATACTATAAGATTTCCTTAGAAGCCTCGTACCTTGGCTCCTTTTGAGCTAGTAAATTATTTAAAGAAGGGATACTTTCCTTAAATTTTCAAATCTGCTCTGGCTATGCTTACGATTCTCTGTTAATTCAGCTGAACTCCTTTTCTGAACGAAATGTGACTCTCACATTTAAATTGGATTCAAGTGAGTTGACAGCTCATGGAGGCGCGATAAGTGGTGAAATTGCGCTCAGTCGACTTCTTCTTTCCGCATCGCACATTCGAGTAGTTAACGTACGTTTATCAATTCCTGTCAACTTGCGTAGTGATAATACTTCATGGTATGGAAAGCTACTTCTAAAGAGTTCATTCCATAAAGATACTGCGTCTTAGGCTGTAAATTTCAGCAACTTCCTCGAAACGGACTGAAAATGCAGCTGCGTTGGTTGGCTGCCCGTATAGAGTGGATGAGCCGCGCAGTGCTTATCGGACAATGTGAACGTCCGGCAGTTTCTCTTGGCGACGAATTTTCTGGAGAAAAAAGTGAAGACGGTGAGGTGGGGATTCCAGCCAGTTTTCATCCATTTGTTTTTCTTGAGACAATTTTTTTTAAATCGCGCCTGTAGGAATTTGGGAGTAGTCAGGAATATGTTTATTTTCGCATTCTTTAGTGACTTGTTGGCTTTAGTATATACGAGCATGTGTGCGCCTCATTGTGAAGGGATCATGGGAAGACTTGCAATTAGTGATCACTCGATGTACAGTAGACGATATACTGAAAATTGTCAGTAAACTGAAGACATTCTTCGAGGTTAGAAGTTTATCTAAATTCTTTGGATACAATATGTCCTCATAAAATAGTCTGAACAATGAGTCCATTTTTGTGTTTGTTGTTTTTATTGTTCATAGACAATATTTTGCTCATTTTATTTTCCTTAGGAGCAACTAAAGAGTTCAAAGATGGTGTGGGGTATACATGATGAGGGCTCAGCTAACAACACGCAGGAGAAGACACGCTCGGATGAGATACCTATGCCTGCTACACAGTTTTGGCAAAAGGTAGTTCTCATTCGTCACTTTATTCATTTAAGTAACGAATGGCTTTAGGTATTAGATACCGTTACTGAGATACAGTACAAGCAGAAAATCCTCCCTATACCGAAGCATGGTGATACCATAGTCGGTGGTTTCGTCGGTTTGGAAGCAGGACGTGTATCCCTTGCTTGCATGCATGGAGAAATGAATGCACATAGGTATATTATATTTTCAGATTAAAGGTTTATCTATTTTTCAAAAAAGGTTATTTTTAATAAATCCATTCGCCGTCTGATTTATTACGTACCATGGGGATCAATAGCTACCGCTTATTTTCCTGTTATGAACACGCATAACGTGTACTGTCATTTAATCTTCAGCATCTTGGCGTGTACGACAGCATTTTTTTTTCAATGCAGGTTGGGCCTTCCATTTACTTCTTTAACTTCCGTGCTAGAGGACACTTCCAACCTCACCGTGCCCGTTGATAACGCTCACTTTTCGTCCTGATTCCGTAGCGTCCATATTTCCGACGCGTACATTAAGGTAAATAAAATCATGGAGTCAAAAATATAGGAGCAGAGCCGCTTATTTGTCCGCTTCAGTACATCTCCAGTAGTTCAATAACATCCCGAATCCCTTGTTTCCTCCTATTTAGCTATGCAGCTAAATCTTATGACTTCTGTAGTCAAATACAGCTAGGGTATTCGTAGAAATTCGACAAGCTGTGAATAAGTGGGATATCCGAAATCTATTTCTCAGAAGTAGTCTTCTTGAAATTCATTCTAAGACCATTGTAGTTTACCGCCATTGGAATTCAATTAAACTATTCCATCCTACTCTTCAAATGATGTTTTGGGGAGTTATTTTGATTCCTTTTGTTGAGTTTTCTAGAACATCTCTGTTGACATCATTTGTATTGTTATGGAATGGTAAAGTTCTTCTTGTGAAGTTGCCATAAAGCTCACGAAGGATTCCAGTGGAAATGGATGACGAGCTTGTTAACTACAAACAGCGAGCTGTTAGAGCATGGAAGCTGATGACCGATGACCTGTAGATATCCATTCTTTGGGACAATGCAGTGTCAGTGTTTCCAGCTGAACAGTGAATTGTGGCACCACCGTCCTTCCTCACTTGAGTATGGAGGAATCTAAATGAGGTGATCGAAGAAATGGGAATAAAATTCAAGGATAACTGCCTCAACTACATTTCCTGATGTTGTGGTTACTCCATCTGGTAGCCGACTTTCATTGTAATGTAATTGGCAATATCAAGGTATATTTGCAATATTTGTTGCAGATACTATCCAAGCTTCTTCATTTTCAACATATACTGAGGCACTTCTGTCCTTAAAATCTTCTTTCATCGCTTTGAGAGTTCGCAAGTGTATCACCCGTTTCACCTGTTGTCGCGTTGGTGGTAGAGTCACTCAAGTTGGCAACAGTAAACCTCCATTTCGTCCTCCCCCTTGACATTCCAAGGAATCCATTCACTAACGGTTGTTGTCCATCGATTGTCGTTCATACCCAATACGTCTCCGGTTCATCTTATTTCCGACAATTTGGCATACAGAACCGGCGTCTTTGATTTTTAGTCGTTGATGTAGGTCAGAAATTCGGACCCCTCTCACAGTTGCATGATTCATGATGTACCCAACATCATCTTTTCGACTGCGCGTTATTTAACGTTGAGTGATATTTCTTACGGCTTACGTAGGGATCAGGTTTCTGGAGCATGAATTACGGCAGAAGGAATCATGGAGTTGAAAAGTAGGTATGGAGTAGGGTATTCTTTGTTATCCTCACTACATCCTCGATGTTCTTGCATATTTTCCAGGCTGCTCGCTTTCTCCTGTTCAACTCTAGAGCTAAATCGATCATCATGTTGATTTCCCTACCTAAGTAGCCGTAGCTGGAGCATTTATTCATTCTTTTGAGTGTGAACGGAACGCGAACGTACCAAATCAGTCCGTTCCGAATGATCATCATTTTTGTAAGATTTGGTCGAAGACCATTCTTTCCACAAGTGTTATCAAAGTCGGGTAGTATTCTTCCGCCTCGCTAATGTTTAGTGTTATAAGAACCATGTCATCAGCGAAGCGAATATGCTGTAATTGCCGACCATCGATTTTCACTCCCATGTTGTCTATTCCAATATTCTCATGACGTTATCGAGGGTGGTGGTTAATAATTTTAGCGAGTTGATGTCGCCTTGCCTAACCCCTCTTTTGAAGTCGGTGTTAATATCGTACCTAGTGATTACAAGAAGTATAGGGAAACGGTTCTATTGGTAAAATAAACTACCAGAACGAAAGCGAAATGTATAAAGGTCACAGCAGCCAATCCCTTAACTTGCTTGTCAGGTCGGTTCTTCGTGGAATCCGAGGATAGCCATAATAGGTTGTTTCCACTTCTCATCCCAGGTCTTCTAGATCGGAGAGAGCTTCTTGGACAGGTTGTTCACTATTTTCAAGCCCCATAGAGATGAGAAGTTTGGTTAGGCTGATGCGGCGTTGTGCCAAGGCCATGAGCGTGTTGTTGAATTACTACAATACCGATTCGTATGCGAAGTGTATGGGTATACATAATGTCTTTCTATTGGTTTCATTGGAAATATCGCATGTACTGCAGCTTTTAAATGTGCCTCGCAGCATACATGGTCGTTAGTTTGATTCCGCAGTCTGCGCCTAACTAAGTCGTTCATCGTTCCGGGGTGGGAAAATTGCTACCACACTTTTCGAGTAGGATATGAAAGACTAATTGGCTATGTATTCTTTCACTGGTAAACTAACATGATATTGATAAACAACTTTATTCGACTAGCGTTTAGACGCCTTCCTCTTCCTCAGAGCTGATAATCCGAGTCGGTAGTCTACCGTCATTCGTACTCTCGATGTTTTTTTTTGTCATCATAGCGAGTCGAATTCTCGTCGGAGGAGCACCACTCTAATGAGGCGACCTCACCTTTCGATACTCTTTTATACAGGATAGTTGTTCTTGATAGTGATTGTTCGTTGATAATAACTTGTTTTTTCTTTGGGCAATCCATTGGTCAGTATCATTGTCAGCTAGCACTAATGAGATATATGGGTAGTTCACTGGAAATCATTATAGAGACCAAATATGGATTCATACACCTCTAAGATGCGTAAAGTAGTCCAATTTATGATGCATCCTAAATAGATGGATTGGCGACGTGCACTTTGTCGTCCATCCTTTATCTTTCCGAAGGCTCAGGGGTCCAACATTGGAAGAAGACCTGGAATTGTGAGTCACTATGAATGGTAGTGGTCATCGTGGTAAAATCATATGGCCGCTGAACTGATGATACCATTGTGATCGCCGTGGGTCGCTAGGCGAAATCCTTCAGATGTTCTCGTAGGTCCAGTATTGGTGTTTAAGTGGCCAGTGATCATCTGGAATATATGCTATACTCTGCAGAACTCATCCAACTCCACAAGTCCATACGGTACGTTAGAGATGAAAACCGTTTACTCTTCCCAACCGCGCCTCGTTAGTTGCGTTGCAATCGATGTGCCCACTCAAGCACAAGTTGACAAGGACACCAACTTTGTCTAATTATCCTTCCATCTCGTCTTCTGTGGAACTCTCCTTCGTTTATAGCCTTATACATCGTTTAATACGTGGAGCTTTTTTGTTTGGTCCAATCCACTGTTGTACATAATGTTCATGGCCTGCAATGTCAGGTCCGCATAACTAGACATCGGTTGCATTTAATTCTGTTCTGTTTCTAGTATGATATTTTCCAAATCTAATGCAATTATAGCTGGGCGGTTTTTCACATGCGACATCCTGGCATCATCTTCACACCAGAGGCGAAATTCTCATACATTGACAAAGATTGCGACATAATAGGTTAGTCTACTAATTCCATTTCACTAATGCGAAACAAAATTTTCCTAATGAAACTGTCCATTCTAGGAGTTGCTCTTCGGCAGAAGCTGATCATCCGTCTAGGTCCACAGGACGCTACGAGAACGCCTTTTAACGCTTCGAATGAAATGCCTAATCTTAGCGCTGAGAATATGGCTACGGTTTGTCGCGTACAGGTTTGTTGTCCCCAATTTGCTTTTGCATTAAAGATATCACGTTCCACTTGCTCAGTTAGCATTTCAAGTTCTATGACTTTCATGATAACTTGAAGAATAACAATTGTTTCTCTTTGATTCCATTCAATTTATATGTCAACTTTTTCAACTCAAACTATTTATTAAATAAAATCCTTAATAAAACCCTTATTAACCTGGGTCTTAGATTGCTTGCATTAAAATTCGAATGGTGGTTGAAATTAATCCATGAAACATTTTTACAGTAGCTTTGTGCTTTGCTTGATGAGCAGACGCGCAGATGTAGAACTTACTTACTTGAATACTTGGATGGCCCATACTCACTGGTTGTGCGAGCCCTAGCGTGAACTCCATTTTTTTTTCCGGAGTTTTACTAGTTTAACCGTTGGTTTTTGGTGAGTGTTTAACGAAGCTATTTCCTATGAATTTGAAGCTTAGGTTTTGAGTTTTTTCTGTTATACCTGTGAAAATATCTGACTAACTAGATTGTACGTCAATTTATCCCTGTCCAGGCTTTGAAGAATGAGGAATTCTCTGGAATGTTGACGGCCGGCATTAAGTGAATACGGTGTTAATAATCTCGTATCTACTCATCAAGAAAACCTAGAGTTCCTAATCAACGCGAAGGTGATCAGAAAGTCGGTCCTGGGAATTTTTTAAATAGAGTTTTAAGCATCCTTCTGTGCGACCATACGAAATAGTTTCTGAACACTTTTTCTGTATAACTTCATTCTCGAGATTTAGGTATTTTTTGGCATTGTGTAGTTTTTTTGCGCTAAATTCTTTTTTCAGCAAAATCGCAATAACGTCATGAGACAGAATGCTTCCATTTCAACGAGCCTTGACTATCTCATTGGTGACGTGTTGAAACAAATTGGATTGGCCGCCAGTACTGATGTAATTGAAGTTCACAAGACTTTCCTTTATTTTAACTTATTATTCACTGCCTACTCTTTCTAACGGCGGGGTACACATTGCGAAATATAACTTCAATGATGCTAAGATATTTGCAAAACTCCGGTTCGCAGGTGTATGCGGTGGGGAACGAACGCGCTATTGGCCTTTCCAGGGAGTAGCACGTTCACCACCACACCATGCGGGTCCTTCGTTTCGCCTGTCTCTCAGCTAGTTCTAGCCTTAGCTTAACTGGGTTCGTTGCCAATTTGGGCCCCCCAGATCAATCCCGCTGATGGGTGATTGCTGATGGCAAAAGATCGATAGAACTAGCTGAGAGACAGGCGAAACGAAGGATCCGGATGGTGTGGTGGTGAACGCGCTACTACCCGGAAAGGACAATAGCGCGTTCGTTCCCCACTGCATACACCTGCGGTCCGGAGTTTTACAAATATCTCAGCATCATTGGTTTTTCTTTATGTTTCAAACAGTAGGCTATGGATGACACTAAATAATGCTGTCAGACTTCAGTACGAAGGAAGTAAAACTATTTCAATAACTGGTATACTCCACTGAGTAGACGTTTCCGTTAAGGCTGCTGAAACGACATCTAGAGGACATCACAACGTGTTGGAATTATTTCAATTTCCTGCACTAGAAGCGATTTTGATTTCGGAACAGATCAATGAATGCGATGTAGATACTTTTGAAGAGGATGAGCCACCAGAGGTGGTAGATTGTGTTGTGAGAAACGATAAATCATGTTATCCTGAATTGTACTGCTACACTTAGGTTCATTCGACCTTCGTATGCGATTTTTTGGACGCTGTTTGTGTGCAAACGGACTTCAATGCTCAAGTCAGCTTTCTTCCCGAACTACTCAAAAGTTACATTCAAGTTTCGGTACTCTTTTCTCCCAATTACCAATTACTCAGTACCTTTTTTGGCGGAAATTGCTGTTTTCTGCTCGCATGCGATATTTTCGTACACTAGGACTCAGCGCTTCCTGCGAATAAACCTGTGAAGAAGACGGACCGTCGACGGTATATATGCGACAAATGGGCGGTAGATCCAAAGATCAGATTTATCGATCGTTTTCGCTGGAATCCTCCCGTCATTGATGACATTCTGAGAAAATTGCAGGTGAAAATAGTTGTTTTTCATCATCCGTAAATTCTGAGATGTTTATCGACGTTCTGCTTCTAGTGGGAAATTTTTTTTGTTCTTCTTTAACCGTCTAGATAGAATATCAATTCGAAATTCTACAAATTTGGCAAAAATCAAGTGCTTTTCAAAGCTTTTGTTTTCAAAGGTTCCACAAAGGCCTGTTAAACAAACATATGATCTTATTGGATTTCCTAAATGATCCACTTTCCGCTGTTTTTTTTTTCGTGTTTTCGCTTTTGTGCTTTAAATCCATTACGTCAAATGTTACTATTGCTTACAGATCTTCGATCATCGTACGACCATACCAAAGGCGTTGCAACGTGCACTTCTTGATCCTCTGGATCAAGGCTTAGCGATGGTGTTGTTTGAGTTACTCCGCCTTGTTGATCGGAGAAAGCAAGAAGACTATAAGTCTAGATCACCTGTGTAGCAAGTACCGTTTCGAGCATCCTATTTGCTAGTCATGTACTGTGTTGTGTATACAATATGCTGTTAATTATTTATTTATTATTAAAACGATAAGAATTCTTCTTCTTTGTGTTCGTCAGTTACTTCCCTTTGTAGAACGATTGAAATCTACTCTCATACGAATCTACCAACACCCGAGCTACAGGTTCAAAGTGTGCTGTGTTTGTTGTTGTTCTTTCTCGAGCTGACACCTAGTATGTAGTTATGTATTCTTTCTCGAGCTGAAACCTAGTATGTAGTTCTTTATACGTAGTCCTAGTCATATATTAATGATACTCTTGTTTTCATGCTTTCTTTCTTGCCTAGCTTGATTTTAATTTATAATTAGAAAGTGAAACTGTCTTTAAATTCGGTTCTACGTGTTCTGTTTTCTTGAATGAGGTAGCCAGGAGAAAATAGTAGTCGAAGACCAATCTTTCCACAGGCTTTATCAAAGGTGGCAAGCATACGTTCCGCATGGCTAATCTTTGGTGTTATGAGGACGATGTCATCAGCAAAGCGAAGATGGTGTAACTGCCGATTATCGATTTTCACTCCCATATTATCCCATTCCAAAGTTTGCATGACGTTCTGGAGCGTGGCGGTAAATAATTTTGGCGAGATAGCATCGCCTTGCTTAACCCATCTCTTGACGTCAATGTTGATATAGTTGTAGAATGGTGACGCACAATAACAACACTCATTGAAGTGTCGCGAGAGTACAAAAGACCGCTCTGTCTCACTTTCATCGATTTAAGGAATGCCTTTGATTCGATTGAGATAAAAGCAGTAATGGAAGCCCTTGATAGTCAAGGAGTCCCTAGTCAGTACATAAAGAACATAAAGATTTTTCGTCAGCTGTACAAAAATTTAACAACTAAGATATCACCATATATATATATATATATATATATATATATATTTAGTATCATGTTAGGTTTCCTATTAGTGGGACTGATGAAATCATTCCTCATTATTTCCTCTAAGAAGTGCAAGATCTTTGCCAAGAAATCTGAACGAAAACGTGAAGGTAATTCGGCATTCTCAGGGCGGGTTGCAGGACGCGGAAATAGATACCTCCCACCGAACACTGGTATAAAGGCTGCAGCTAAGCAGGAACAGATGCTAATTTATCATGGATGTCCTTGACCACCGAATAATGGCATACGATTTCATAGCCTACTCTGCTGTCGGATTCTACGTAATGGTCATGATCTGTGTATGTGCCACACTGCCGATCATTTATAACTACACATATTTCGTGAAATCATCACTCTACAAGGAAGCGTCATTGTGTAAGGTAAGCATACCCATTAGCGTTGTTCGCTCAGCTTTTATACTGTAGCTCTGCTTTCAGGAGACAACGGATTCCATTTGGTATGATGTAAGAAAGCTCAAGCAGCTTCATTTGAGCAACAGAACAACACGTGAAATTAGCTTCATGGGGGAAAATTTTTTGGAAGGATATGAAGCCTGTTGTCTCCCAGGACCCCAAGGGGCGCGTGGACCTCCCGGGAAACCAGGAAAAGCCGGAAAATCGGGAGCTCCTGGTTTACCAGGCGTTCCGGGTTTTCCTCAACATATTCCTGCGATCCTGTATCAATTCCACCATGTCAGCAGTGTTCATCTGGACCTATGGCGCTTCCTGGAACTCCCGGACCGCTTGGAGATCCTGGTCAGAAAGGGATACCAGGATCCCCTGAGAGTTACGGTGCACCTGGCGAAGGTGGTCTAGAAGGGCCTCCTGGGTTGCAAGGGTTGTTCGGGAATCCTGGAGAGATAGGAGGTCTTGGAAAAGATGCTGAATGAACACCAGTTATGCCAGGGGATCAAGGTTCACCAGGAACTACCAGCATAAAGGGACTGCTTGGAGTCCCTGGCCTGCAAGTGCCTGATGGAAGACCTGGTAAGGCGATCAATAAGCTCATTAGATTACATCGTTATGAGTTGCTTGTGAAATAAAGCGCCGATTTCAGGGAAGCCTGGGACTAAAGGCCCTAACGGGGAAGACGGTTCACCGGGATCTGATGGTGATCCTGGCGGTCAAGGCCTTCTGGACCACCTGGACGACCAGGGGAACCTGGAATTTGTCCCAAACACTGTACAGCGGATGGTGGAATCGTATTTGAAGACGGCTCTCTTAGTTAATGACAAATGATTCCTAAATTGAGAACGATGACTAATTGGTTCTTTAAACGCTTTTTAGATAGATCATTTAAATAAACAATGAATGGGAGGAGGTAAGGGCGACTATAGTAGCAACACATTGTTGATTTGTAATATAATTTTAAGACAGTCCTCGGATTCCGCAGTCGTCGTGATGCCGCTTAATATTTACAAGGTCACAGTTCCACCCCACGCAGGCAGACCCATTTTTCCTCCCCTTAGGGGGCGGGAAATTCTTGTCAAACTTATCTGGGATGAGCTCTCTTTAATAAGCAAAGGCTTGTGCCCGGTTGTGGTGGAAACTTGTCAACGCTCTCGTGCTAGAATTCTATGACGACTCGACTCATTCGGTGTCATTCATTAGGACCAAAAACTTCGAGCAGTAGCCGAATCAACACTCAAATCCAAAAACCTTCGTGGATAATGGATGTGAAGAAACGACTCGAATAAAAGAATTGCTGCGACCGTCATATTATGTGTTTTAGTTTGAAATGAATAAGAATGATAAAAAAATGAAGAATGTAACGAAGTGGTTAGCGGCGAAGTGTAGCAGTTCAGATTGATGTAGAATATTAGCCACGCGGGTCTTTTAGTTGTTGTAGTTGATCTACCAGCCTCAAACTTGGGTAATTAAACCTTTAATACATAAATACAACACTAGTTACATAATAGTAACGATAGAGAACTAATGGTAGAGGAATGAGACAAGTTAGAGCTCCGAGGTGCTAAGGCCTGTAGTGAAGTGACGCTAACAATGTGGCAATAGCATTCAAACATTATTATGCCATTAATACAATATTAACAATAATAATGAGATTACAACGAAGCAGCCTTTGGTTAGCCGTAAGCGATGCCGCGCCGCACCGCGTCTATCCGCGGCCGGTGCGGCGGCTGAGGGCGACGGTATGCTGGATGCGGAGGGAGGAGACTGTATGCTGAGGTGGTGAGGGTTACAGACTGGCCGTGTTCCGGCCAAGCTAGGATTTCAACATTATAGCGATGAGGAGCATTTTAATGGATCGATGAGGACTGTAAGTTACATGAGCGTTGACGGTGCTATGGACAGTGAATGATGAGTGAATGACACATTGCGTACATTGTGGGAGTCACCTACGGAACACAGTCAGGTGGCTGGTCGTGAATAACGCTATGTCGGCAACGTGAACTTTGAGCATCGATGGGTGCCACTATTGCCTAAGGGTAAGGGCCAGTATGATAAATGGCTACAAAACAGATAAGCCTATAGCGGTTTAGCAGAACACATAGCATAAGTTGGCCGCTTAGAGGCATTGTACACATTGCGTACATTGTGGGAGGAATGGTACATGCCACCGATGGCGTTGCAAACAGAACGCATTTGGCAACACCCGCCACTACTGGCATCGCACCGTAGACAAGCTGAGAAACGAGATACAATAATCAGCTGATTATTGAAGGATGAATGCGAATGTGTGAATGAATGTGATTGAATAAGAATGAATGAGTATGAGGTGACTGAGGATGATTGAGGATGTGGTTGTGAGCAGCGGATTATCCACGCTACCGATCGGAGGTAGGGTGAGTGATGGCACGTCTCCGCCGTCGAAGGCACCTGGCTTATATCGGTTGCGGGAGCCGCGTGAGTATGCAACCGCGGTTAATCTGGATTGTTGATCCTGGACCGCAATAGACTGTACCTAACTGTCTGCAACATCAAACGTCATTAGCTTCGTTGTTTCACAAGGAAGTGGTAAACTTTCCACTGTTACGCCTCCTTCGGGTAAGCCATCGTCGGTATGCTACTGAAGTCAAACCTGAATCGCTATTGTGCCTGAAACACTGAACATAATTGATCGAGAAGATTACAAAGGCTACATTGCGGTGTTTGATGTGCGACTGCGAGACGGCCATATTTGGACTTCAAATACTACTATTTAGATAGATAGAGAACTTTTCAAGAGAGAAGTTCTCTATACACCCGCCCGGCTTATTTAGGGGCAAGACGAAATTTTGTTAGCTATTTGAACGCAGGGTTTTTGCATTACGCAAATGTTTAAGAGGAATCTGAAACACATAACGCTAAAACGTGAATAAAAGAAGCGTCGTATAATGAGTGATCTACTACATTTACCTTAATAATTGGTCGATCTTATCGACACCCCCGCCTCTTAGCTGGATGGCTTTTTCATCCTTTTGCTTCTGAGAATTCGTGGCGGTCGAATGACATGGTTGTGCTACGTTTATTGGGCCAAGGGGGTTTCTTTCGTAAGCATTGCGGAAAGCCAGGACCGTTGTTGAGTGATGTTAACGTCGCCTTTGGTGTGCATGATTGCCACTCCATATCCGCAATAAAGTATGCGCCTGTTGCTTCTGTGCTGGTGTCTTCGGCTAGAATGCGATAAGCTTTCACTATGCGGGGCTCCACTTGGTTTAATGATTTCGAAGCTGTTTAAGTGTTTGGGGATGTTCTCCTGCATCAATGCATTGAATGTCGACATGTCGTTTGACTCGAAATTCGTAAATTTTTCCGCTACGGCCGCTTCCAATGCACAGAACATTTCCCAGTTGTCATCTAATACAGAAATCTCGCTCAACTGCGTTTCTAATGAGCTGCAGTCAGTTTGTGAATGAATTACATCGTGATGACCTGTTGTTTGTTCTAAGTTCTCTTCATTTCTTTTCTTTCCTTTCTTCTCTTTGTTTGCTTCATGTATTGGAATACGTTCACTGTGCACTAGGGTTTCGGAATTTGTGTGTTCTTCGATTCTTGCGAATTTTACCGGATTGCGGTTTTTTTTAACATTCAGTGTACGGTCAGTATTAGTTTTACCATTTGCAGGTTCTTTTGCTGACTGTGAAGGATTACTGGCACTTCCTGTTATCAGGTGACCCAAGCGAGTTCGTAGAAGATGCAACCCAGAGGGAAGTGTGACGTGCCGTTGATCGTTTTTCACCAAGGACCACAGTTGGTCACAGCCGAGTAGAATAGTGGGCTTCACCTTTAATTCGTTCTTACTAAGATAGACGGGAAGATTATGATGACGAATAAAGTCTACATCTTTCTTAGGAACTGTGGGAATAATAAGTGGTTTCAGTAACTTATCGTGCATGAACAAATGCATAGAGAACGGATGACCATCAGCATGCCATGCTTTGAGCGAGACTTTATTTGACGATTTTTCTCGTGCTTCCTCGGATCCGAATGTACGCAGGCGTAGTGTAGTTTGTCCCATGATAGGAAGACCCATTTCTGCAGCGAATGATTCGTCGATGAAAGAGAGTTCAGCTCCCGTATCCAGCAAAACTGGCACTTTTTCAAGTGTTCCTGTAGTTGGGTTCACCACTGTAATTTCTCCGGTGGATAATATGGTGGTTTGCTGACTTCGGAGATGCGGATTTTCGTACTGAACTTCTACGACGATAGTCTCCTGTGGTGTAGACTGTTCTTGTTAGATAGATAGAGAACTTTTCAAGAGAGAAGTTTTCAAGACTCCTTTGCCTATTCCCAAGGAGCTTGGTTTGCTCAGAAAAAGCGGAATCCTACCAATGACCCCGTTCGTTCTAAAAGCACCTCTGGTTACTATGCCGCGAACGCCATTGAATAGAAGTAGATAACCTAGTTATAAGCCCTCTTATAAAGTGGAAAGTGGAAGAATATCCAACCACAATGATGCTGAGATATTTGCAAAACTTGGACTTCGTGGCAGATCTATCCGCAATTGCCCTTTCCGGTGGTTCACGTGTAACGCGTGACACCACTGAGGCCCTCATTTTGCCTTTCTCTCAACCACTCATTTTACACTAACGGTGCCATCAGCTATCACCCATCAACGGGAATGATCTGGAAGGGGGGGACATTCTCATCGGCATTAAGCCCAGTTAAGGTGAGAGTGTAGTAGAAATCACAATATACAACTTTTATCTACTGCTCATTGTGAGCATCATTATGGTTGTATTTCACATAATATCCTGCAGTGAAAAAAATGGAAAGGACATCGTCTAACTGGTGATTTCTGGCAGTGTAGTTAAAGATATTTTCTTCATCAATGTGTTCGTTATCAAATTTCAACACCTTTAGTGTTCATTCCATTTCCTTGCATCCATGGCAGTCACAGAATTTTCTACTTCTGCTACATAATCAAGAACTGAGGCAATTCTCTAACGTTTTCAAACTGATTTCTAGTGTTTCTGTTTCGCTTGTCATTTTTTTTTCGTAGCCTTGTGACTGTATCAAATTGCTTATCACGTGCAGGTGAGGCCGTTTTCGTTGTATTTCACTTCAAAGGCATAATATTCCTTTGATAGCAATAACATTAATAATGAGAATGATACTACTTCACGTCGATAATAGAATTCCTGACTTTATGCACTTGATTTCTTATGGACGAGCAATAATGCCATTACCAATAGAGGTTTGGAGTTGATATATTTATTTTCTTCTGCCGTTATAGGGGAATGAACAAATTTCGAGAGACGAATCACTTCGGTGACATTCTTTTGGAACGGCGAACAATCCCATTCTCGAAGAACACACCGCCATCAATAGCGCAATATTTAGGACAAATTCCACGCTCTCCCTCAAGTCCTGGTAGACCTTCTGTACCAGGTAGGCCAGGAGTTCCTGGTTCTCCAGGATATCCATCCTCTCCTTTTGGTCCCTTTGGTCCGGGTGGTCCTAGAACAAATCCATGGCCAATGCAATATATAAGGAGAATATAAAATAGTTAACGAGAATGACGTACCAGGCAATCCAGGGGTGCCTGGCTTTCCATCGGATCCGGGTGGTCCTGGTAATCCGGGTTTTCCAACTGGACCAGTTTGTTGTCCATATGCTATAGCGTCTCTTCCACGTGGACCTGGTTCTCCAGGCGGTCCTGGTCTTCCTGGTGCTCCTGGGGGTCCCTTTTCTCCTGGAGGTCCTACGGAACCACTAATTTCTGCACCGCTTAATCCAGGTTCACCAGGAGGACCAGGAAATCCTGGTGGTCCAGGTTCTCCCGGTGGTCCTGGTGGGCACGGTCTACATGGCGGAGGAGTTATGGGCTCGCACGGCATTACGGGCTGTCGACCAGGACTACCAGGTGCTCCTGGACTACCAGGAACTCCTGGGCGGCCTGGCCTTCCCGGTGGGCCCTTTGCACCTAGTGGGCCTGGCACACAGCATGGCGTACATCGACCAGCACTAATCTGTCGTTTGGTTCTGTTGCTAGGTGGCATTCTCCTCATGTATGTTATTTCGTCCAAAATTTCCTTTGCTGATCCCTAAAGCACATAACATAACTATTTATATAATGAGTTAAATCAGGTGTTTTTGGTACCTTGCAAAAGGTGACTTCATTATGTACTGACTTCTTCATGTGGTAAATGTAGTTGCAGACTAGTGGAAGTGTAATGCAGACTGAAAGCACAGCGAGTACCGAGAGTGTGACAGCTGTGTAGGCGATGAAACGATAGACGGCCACCCGATGTTGTTCGTCTAAGTTCATTGCGAAAATCGACGACGCTGTTCCGCTGACGACAGATTAAACGCCGGGAAATTCTCTCAACCACGCTACTTTTATACTTGTCTCGGCAACTTTAGATGGTCACGCCCTCTAGTTCTACATCATGATCGGTCAGAGTTTGTGTTCTTCAATGAATGGCGTGCTTCCAATATTCAACGCTGAAACCGTCACACTAACATTTTGTTTGACTGTAAACTTTACTTGATAGTTTTCTCATGACTAAATCGACGTCACAAAAACTAACCGACTACACCAACATTTTACTGAATAGGCGGAATTATTCATCTTTACAAAGAAATCTCAGTGATTATTTAGTAATTTGAGAAATGTCAAGGAGAACAAATTGTTTTACAACGTAGAAAAAGTACAAAAGACCGACTTTCAATAAACCTCGGCGTTGGTGGCTAAAAAAGTTTTGAATGGATTGACCCCTAGTAATTAACTGATCTTCTTCATGCTGTTTCGTCATTCCATTTCACCCATATTCTCTTTCACTGCTCTCATTAGTTATACTGTAGTGTCTTTTTAGGGATAGTTGCTATTACAATGTTCCTCTTATTGTCTACAAACTGGGGTTTTTAACCATTTCATGTCTCCTCAAGCGTTTTATTCAGTTTTGTTACCTGGATATATTTAATATGGGTTGTGTCTGCCGAGTTTCACTTTTGAAGACGGCTATTGGGGGCTTACGTATTCCAATCGCCTTTTTTTATTTTCGAAGTGTTTTGTCCTTATGCTTCAGTGAAATGTAAAAATACCCGCAGATTTTAGAACTGGAGCATCCTTGAATTGGAGCAGTATGTCGATAATACTTCCAAAAGCTACGAAATTGAGAACAGAAAATGTTCAGTAGGAATCTGGAACCGGTACTCAAACTTTTTTTTTGGAAATGTTACACCTCATAGGGATTTAATGAAATTAATACCATACAAAAAGGAATCGCAACCATTTTTCGTGTTGTAAACCGAAAACATCTCGTTTTACCATTTACTTTAAACGTTTTGTAAAAACATGTGATTACTAAAAATCGTCGAAGGCTTTTTCTAGCGACGACGAAGAGTTCCGTCCTCGAAAAATACACCGCCGTCAATTGCGCAATACTTCGGACAGATACCACGTTCTCCCGGACGGCCTGGTTGACCAGGTGGGCCAGGTGGACCGCTGTTTCCTGGTATACCTGGCAGTCCATCGGGACCTCTAAGCCCCTGTGGTCCAGGCATTCCTAAAATTGTTCACTTATATATATACGGCAAAATTTACCAACTAAAAACCATACCTGGGGCTCCAGCAATCCCAGGAATACCGTCTCGCCCTGGCGGACCTCGTAGTCCTGGTGGGCCCGGTTCACCAGGTGGCCCGATTTCAGCTCCCTCTGCGGGAGGAATAGCGTCCGGTCCAGGCACACCGGGAGCTCCAGGTAATCCCGGATATCCAGGCGGTCCCCGTGGTCCTTTAGGTCCAGGTGGTCCCATCAGCATTTCTCCAGCGAAACCAGGTGTTCCTGGCCGACCGGGTTGCCCAGGTGGTCCCTGAGGTCCAGGTTTACCGGGTGGTCCCGCTGGACATTCTTGACATGCTGGTGGTGTGACCTCAACGCAAGGAAGCATGGGGGGTCTTCCAGGTGCACCGGGCACTCCAGGAATACCTGGTAAGCCCGGACGACCGGGTTTTCCTGACGGCCCTGGCGGTCCTGGAGGACCTGGCAGGCAGCAGCTGGGACCACAGAAATTGCTTTGCCGAGTAGTTCTGTTTGAAACTGGTGAGGCTTTAATGTAGCTCACTTCGTGCCAAATGTCCTGAACGGATCCCTGAAAAGAAGACATAATGAACAGAAAGGAATGCTGGTAGTGCCAAACTAGAGCGAAAGCGGATCACCTTGCAAAAGTTAATTTCGGTGTTCATTAGTTTTTTGACATGATGTATGTAGTTATAGACCATAGGTAGTGTGATGCAGATTGACAGCACAGCAATAACGGAAAATGTGACAGCCGAGTAGGCAACGAAGCGATACGCTTTCAGGCGTTGTCTCGAGTCCGACTCCATCGCTGCAGATGCCGATAACCGCCCGCCACAGTGACCTTTTATAGTGCTCTCACTGGACGTGTCCGACGCCCCCTCTGTGTGTTTTCTTTGCTATCACCAAACAAACAGCAACGTTTTTAAATGACAACGGTTACACTCTGCTTAGTTCAGCTTCTCCATGCGAAATCGCACTCTCGTCAGGCATTGTGGCTGTGCAAAGTCATATATCCATCTACTAATTGCTTCCGTGCAAATTCGAAAAATGATTCTGAAGGTTCTTCTCAAATTGAAGTACACTTGCTGCCAAAAGCAATAGCTCCTAACGAAACATTGGGAAAGAGCATTGTGTCTCACTGCGGAACGAAATAGCACTTGTTCAATTGCATTCGCGGGCGGAACGTGAGTCTCAAAGAGGGTAAAAAGCAAAAAAGGACATATTTTTGGGCTTCATAGAATCAGTCCTTAAACTTGATAGAATGACAGAATCTATATATTATAAGCGAAAGATTGCAGATTGTACTGGCTTCTACTTTGATGAATACAGTTTGCTACGAGGTAAGTCACATTAGTTGGAAGTTAAAAGCGATCAGTGCTTTCGTTTCGTATGAGTTACATATGACTCATATTCTCGTAAATGTGTTAGTGAGTAACTAGCACAAATATACACAGAATTTGTTGACAACAAGTTGCAACAGTGCTCGACTTTTTCATCTCGTTATTTTTCTGATCTTCGTAATAAAAAGTTTTATACGATACGGCTGTGCTAGCATCAAGTAGATCTTGCCCCTATATAATCTTATCAATAAAGGCATATTTTTTCTATGAACGAGGTTGCTACCAAACAATGTTACGGCTGACAGTTCGACTCGTTTGCCTTCTTTATAGTCGCAATGATGCGAATCTGGCGTTGACATTAGTTGTTTCTTTCAATGTTGATCGTCGTCGTTTCGAGCCGACTACAGCGGAGTGGAACATCTCACGTAGACGAAGGCCGGAGCATCGAAACCTTGACCAAAAAAAACTTTTTTTAATAACAACCTCATGCAATCTCATGAACACAGCAAAGTACTAATTAGCCATGCTGAGGTTAAATGGAAGTCGGTCCTCTAAAAAAGTGTGGTATTGATTTTTCGTTTTATTATGAGTAAATGAAGATCTATTTAAAAAATTTCCTGGTCATTTTTTCGCTTCTAGCCTTTTCTAGTTGTGCATCAATGGTGCTCATCGCTAGTTGTTTCAAAATGAAAAGAATTACTATTCGTAGAACTTCTTGTGTGATATTTGCAAACTACATTCTTTTATCACAATTTTCGAAAATACCATGACGATTGCCGGATTTTTATAGAATTATTTAGTTCTTGCAGAGTGAGTGTAGCGCAGTGGTCCGAGGCGCCCTGCAACGCATAAGTGGGTTCGATCCCAGCGCCCGTGGCTCACGAAGCTTTCCATCCCTCCGGGGTCGGCAAATTGGTAGCAGACTTGTCTGGGAGGAAAGGACCACAGTCTCGATATATCGGCAGGCCACCGTGAGTTATTATGAAGGACAGAAATGCATTCAATCACCTCCAACGATGCTTAATGAAGTCGAATGCATGGCGCATCCCTCAGGGATTGTTATCGACGCCAGGAGCTTTATCCTTTTTTACTTAGTTCTAAAAAAATTGGCAATGACAAGTCACTTAGGATCCTTTTTCAATCATTTGTGAATTTACTAACCGGAGATTTATAAATACAGCGCTGATTGATTGACTTTTCTGCATATTTTTTTTCGTGAACAAGATGAACTATCTTTAGGTACGTTGATTTTAATCGAATCATGTTCCCATGGTGATAAAAGGGTACAAGTGAAAAGTAAGTCAGCTTAAACTCAATTGGATAAATTTCATTTCTTATTGCCGAACGACGGAACAAATCTCACAGACTAGACGTGGCTAGTGGTATTCACACTTGAAGACGTCGTTTCCTTTTCGAGTAGTGAACGGCTTCAAGTAAACACTTTCAAACGAAAAAAGCCCGAACAGAGATGGGCCAAAAGTGGGAAGTCTAGAAGTGAGATAGGAAAGCTTCATTTAGATGGCTAAATGTTAAGCATACCAGGAATAGATCTTTGAAAATGAAATGGTAAAAAGCATTATTAGAAGACAGTGTAATGCCTACACAGTTGAAACTGTTTTCCATCCAGACTGATGTGATAACCTTGAAGACCGAAGCCATTATTAAAAACATGTCTTATTATGATCGAAATCATGTATTTCTAACTGAACCAGCTCTTGCGATAAGCACGAAAATTGGAGAATGAATAAAAATATGTCTTGGAAGTTTTCCGCTTAGGATGATCGAATTTTTTTTGCAACGTATTAAAATCATGTTGTTTCAGATTTCGATGGTCGCTGAAAAACGCACCCATCTACGATTGCCTATTCTAACATCCTACCGTAGCTGTGCTGAGATATTTGCGAAATCCTAACCCTAATCCAGGTCCTAACCATCGACTGACTTCCTGTTCCGGGATCTCACGTGTTACCCACTGCACCACCAAAGGCCTTGGCTTGCCTTTCTGTCACCCAGTTTTCTACCTAATGATGCCATCAGTAATCACCCATTTGCGTGAATGATCTGTGGAGCCCAAATCGGCATTAAGCCCAGTTCGACCGCTGCTGTAGTCGAAATCGCATTGTTGACTTTTACTTGCTGCCTACTATTAATTTTCCATCGCAAGGTATTAAATGTAATAGCTGCCGTGAAAAGATAATAATGGGCAGTAAATAGAAAGTTATACACTATGCACCATAGATTCGTCATAGCTTTCTTTCGACATTTGTCCGCAACGTGAAAGTGTTTAGTGCGAGCGGATAGAGGGTCCCTACGATATAAATGAGCTCTCTATTTCGATTCTGAGTTCTCTCTAAAGTTAACCATGCACTTCTTCACTCCGATGTCAGCAGGATGGTACCAAAATAGTCTAGGAGGTTGGAAACATTGACGTGGCACACCGATAGCTCATCTATAGGTATTGTATGAGCCAAATATGTCCATTCAATCACCTCTACGAAGTCGAATGATTGGCGCATCCATCATTAATTCATAGTGGCGGAGCGCTTTATCCTTTGTCCCTCATCTAAAGTTCACCAGCCACACGTTTCTATTGAAATGTTTGATTCTTTATTCACGAGATTTGGGTCGCAGCTCAAATGCATCACCTGAATCACCTATAGTCCCGTTGATCGTCGAGTGACTCGAGCGGGTGCCAGTAAATCTTCCATTTTTCCCTGCCGCGTGCAAGAGCAGCCCAGTGGGTTCTCATCGCTCTAGAGACTGGTCGAGCATCATATCTTTCTTTTAGGTTCTTCGTGAAGAACTCTGACCATCAGGTCGGTGGCTTTTCTGCAGTACGTTTGACATCCTGAGGATTCCATTCACTAACGGCTCTTGTCCATCGGTTGTCATCCACACGCATTACGTGTCCGGCCCGCCTTATCTTCGACTGTTTGGCGTACAGAACGGCATCGTTGAATTTTGATCGTTGACGCAGGTCGGAGCTTCGGATCTCATCCCTTACCTGTATGAAACGGGATACTCCTAGCATCGTCCTTTCGACTGCACGTTCAATAACGCTGAGTGATCTTCCATCCTGTTACGCAGCGACCAGGTTTCTGACGCATACGTTAGGGCAGGACGTACCGTTGAGTTGAAAAGGTGGGCACAGAGTCGGGTGATCTTCGTTTTCCCTACATCCTCGATGCTCTTGAAAGCTTCCCAAGTCCCTCATTTCCTTCTGCTGAACTCTGGAACTAAGTCGTTCACTATGTTGATTTCACGAACTAGATAGGCATAACTGGACCATTCCAAGATATTCGTTCCGTTCAGCGTGAATGGGGCATAGAAACCAATCCGTTCTCCATGAATATCGTTTTTGTGAGATTTAGTCGGAGATCAATCTTTCCACAGGCTTTATCAAAGTCGTCAAGCATACGTTCCGCTCGGCTAATGTTTAGTGTTATGAGGACGATGTCATCAGCAAAGCCAAGGTGTTGAAATTGCCGAACCGATCTTCACTCTCATTTTATCCCATTCCAATGTTTGGATGACGTTCTGGAGGGTGGCCGTAAATAATTTTGGCGAGAAGGTATCGCCTTGCCAAACTCCTCTTTTAACGTCAACGTTAATATCATTGTAAAATGGTGATATTTTGGTTGTAAAATTCTTGTATAGCTCACGAAGAATCTTTATATGCTGAGTATAGGGACTCATTGACTCTATCAAGGGCTTCCATGACTGCTTCTATCTCAACTAAATCAAAGGCCTTCTGTAAATCGATGAAAGTGAGACAGAGCGCTCTTTTATACTCTCGCGATACTTCAATGAGCCTTGTCATCATGTGGATGTGGTCCATGGTACCAAATCCTTTTCGAAACCCTGCTTGCTCATATGGCTGTCCTTCGTCCAGTATTCTGTCAATCCTGTTTAGGATGACTCGAGTGAAAAGTTTGTAGACGACAGACAGCAAGCAGATTGGGCGATCCTTCTTGAACAATAAAACGGTCTTCCTTGTCTTCCACTGGGTAGAGACCTTGCATTCAGACAGGTAACGTGTGAAGACAGGAGCCAGTGTGTTTACGAGGACTAGCGGAAGGTTCTTCAGGTGTTCGGGTTTTATCCTTTACAGACCTGGTGCTGTTCGACTTTTCACCGACGAAATGGCATGTCGGATTTCGGAATGGGGAACCGATGGTGCAACATATCCATTCTCCTTTATTTCATATGACGGAAGGTGAGCGTGGCTATCGAAGAGATCTGAGCAGTGTTCGTGAATGATTTTCTCAATTGCCTTTCTGGACACTGTTACTGTTCCGTCTGGGCGTCGGAGTGCAATCGTCTTGGTCTTGTAATTGGCAAAGCTTCGGTGGGCTTTGTGAATTCTTTTCCCAGCCTGTGTGGCTTCGACCATTACTGTTGCTCTTCTCTCTTTAAGATCTTCTTTTATCGCCTGTCCGCAATGTTTTGCAAGGTCTTGGGCACGGCGATCGATTCCTCGTGTATGTTGCAGGACGCCTCCGACTACTGTGCCACACGTGCCCATATATATATATATA